AATTACTACTTGGGGGTTTTCGAGGTCGCTGATTACGAATCCGGTGTTAGTTTTCCAAAATTCAAAATGGAAGATCCAATATGGCGGACAAAAAATTTAAAAATTGTTTAGATTCGACTGAAACTTGTTACTGGAGGGTTTTTGGGGTCGCTGATTACGAATCCGGTGTTAGTTTTCAAAAATTCAAAATCGCAGATCCAATATGGCGGACAAAAAAAATTGAAAAATCTTGTAGATTCGATTGAACCTTGTTACACGGAGGTTTTTGGGGTCGCTGATTACGAATCCGGTATTAGTTTCCAAAAATTCAAAATGGCGGATCCAATATGATGGACAATAATTAAAAAATCGTTTAGATTCGCCTGAAACTTGTTACTCGGGGGTTTTTGGGGTCGCTGATTACAAATCCGTTATTAGATTTTAAAAATTTTAAATGGCAGACTTAAAATAGTAGCCCAAAATTTAAATAATTAAGTTAAACCCGTGAAATTGTTTACTAGGAGGTTTTCGGGGTCACTGATTACGAATCTGCGGTTACTTTTTAAAAATTCTAAATGGATGACCAAAAATCCAAAAAATTGAGCTAAACTCGTTTAAATGTCTACCTAAGGGTTTTTTCAGGACAATCTTTACGAATTCATCATTACTTTTTAAAAAATCAAATTGTGAATATAAAATGGTGGACCAAAATATAAAAAATTGATCCAACTTTTTTATATTGTACGTAAAAAGGTGCCATTTGAACTTATCAAATACAACGCCAGATAACTTTTTATGGAAATTACGTGAGGATTATTTAATTAATAATCACAAGACTAGCTTAATTTTTTAATTCTATCCGCCATTTTGAATTTTAAATAGAGATTTGTCATCAACCATTTAAAAATTTTTTAAAACTGACATCGAATTTGTAATCAGCGACCAAAAAAACCCCTATGTAGACATTTTTACGAAATTAGCTCCATTTTTTCAATTTTTGTCCGCCATATTGGATCTGCCATTTTGAATTTTGGAAAACTAACACCGGATTCGTAATCAGCGACCTCGAAAACCCCCAAGTAGTAATTTTCACGAGTCTAGCTCAATTTTTAATTTTATCCGCCATATTTAATCCGCCATTTTGAATTTTTGAATTTTGAATGGAGATACGTTATCAGTTTGTAAGTAAACTATGTTGTGGTTATTTTTATCGTCATATGTGAAGCTTTAAACAATAATATAGATCATATTAGTGGATTTTTTGTATTTTTTATGTCGTTTAGGCGCCATATTTAAGTCGCCATTTTGAATTTCAAAAAGCGCCCAACGGGATTAAAAAGTAGACATTCCAAGCTAATTTTTCCAATATGATAAAATTTTTTTAAATTAAACCAATTATGGAGAGATGGGGTGGTCCGGTTGACAAAGAACGTCCCAAATATTTTTTTTTTTACTATATACATTGTTTGTTAGTCGTCATCTTTAATACAATTTAATTTTAAAAAAGGAACATTTATTTAATAATAACTCAATCTGGCCCCAGCTGGGATTTCCCAACCTTGGGAAATCTTTGGGATCAGCGTTACGCGCCCAATTTGGGCGTTATGTCTGGGTTGCCCACTTTGGACATTGGGAAACCCAGTAAAATTCATCCATAAAATGGACCTTATGGTAAAGAAATTAAGAGTTGATTCCTTTTGTGCATTTTCACATTAAAAATCACAAACATAATCTAAAATTTTTAAAATAATTTAAATAATATTAAAAAATTTTTAAATAGTAAAGTTAAAGAAATAATTTTGAAATTTTAAAAAAAATTTTTTTTTTGTATTAAATGCATTAATATGTGTAAATATATACTTTAAAGTATTGATTTTTTCGAGATTTTTTTTTTGTAACAGTGTGCACTTTACACACATGTACATATAAACGATATAATGTTTAGTCAGCATGGTTGGTAGGCCTCATGGGCCTCTCTGACGTCATAGCCAGTGTATGTTGAGAGATGGGGTGGTAAGGACCCCTGAGCGAATGTTTTGTGGCACTATATATATATGGGGTATACTGTAGGGTGACAGATTATACATTTCGCCCAGCCCATTGTATTTCAAACATAATGCTTTGGACCTGTCTCTCGCACGCATCGACTTTTCATTGTTCTCGACACGAATTGCATTTTTCTTCTTCCTATTTTGCCCCACAAGCTACCGGGCTCATTTTGTTTAGTGTCGAAGGCACTCGTGCACGTAAATCTCTCTTAATAACATACAACTTCTGTGTGTCGTTTTTGTCATAAAACATCCTAGACACATATCAAGTCATATGAAAAAAAAAAAATTTATATTATATATATATATTTTTTTTTCTTTCTTTTTTATATTATATCGATGAGCTTTCACACTTCATCGATGAAAAAGATTTTTCATGCATTTCAAATCTCAAGTTGCAATAAAAGAAATTTATTGTACATATGTATATATAATAATAGATATACTATTTTTTTGTTTAAGATGTTTTGTGTTTATAATAAATCATTTTGTTTGTCATTTTCAAAAAAAAAAAAAAAATGTATACATATTTCAAAAACAATTCTTCTATATTAAATATATAACTAAAAAAAAATTTATTACAACACAATATTACATTAAAAAAGAAACTATATTTTTTTACAATATTCCAATATTTATTGCAATATGTAACGCTTCGCGACAAAAGGTGCCTAAGCTTCAAAAATTTTTAGGTTATGTGATAGTTTTACCTCAATAAAAAGTTCTATTTTAATTAGGCAAAATCAAAAATAAATTTTATTGAATATTTTAGATATAGTAAAGACTTAAACATAAATAGTTTGTATATAAAAGAGTTGACCCTCTTCCCAGATAGCACGGAAACTTGCAGCAAGCTTGCGGCAAGTTCACCGTGCAAGCTTTCTGCAAGCTTGTCTGAGCTAGCGAAATGTCCCACCCAGGGCAAGCTTGCCGTGAAAGCTTGCTGTTAGCTTTCCAGGAAAGGTTGCTGCAATCTTGCCATGAAAGATTTCTACAAGATTGTCTTTGGTTAGTGTGTCTGTCGAACCCGGGTTCAATTTCCAGTCCCCTCAAATTTGTTTCGAAAATTTTCTCGTTAAGTTTCCAAATGAAAATAAACAGGACATAATTAATAATAATAAACGTCACAAGGATTTTCAAATTTAAAAAAAAATAAATCTTTTTTTAATTTAAAATGTATTTTTTAAAAATTGCAGCAACCTTGCAGCAACCTTTCCAGAAGCTTGTTGAAATTCTCCTGCAACCTTACATAGCAAGCTTACAGCAATCTTTCACGGCAAGCTTGCCGCAATCATTCTTAGTATGCTTGCAGCAATATTGTAGAAATCTTTCATGGCAAGATTGCAGCAACCTTTCCTGGAAAGCTTACAGCAAGTTTTCACGGCTAGCTTGCCCTGGGTGGGACATTTCGCTAGCTCAGACAAGCTTGCAGCAAACTTGCACGGTGAACTTACCGCAAGCTTGCTGCAAGTTTCCGTACTATCTGGGTTTATGTATTTTCACTTTAAAACTCAAAAATATAACCTAAAAATTTTGGGAGCTTAGGTATACCTTTTGCCGCGGAGCGTGTCACATATTTGAAATATTGTTTATTGTAATGAGTTTTTTTTGTATTACAACAAAAATTTTGTTGAAATTTTGCTTCGATTTTATACACAGAAAAAACCTAATCTCAAATTGAGTATAAAATTTATATTCAATTCGATACGCGCATCAAAAATAAGACAGGCAGATGGCGCCACGTTCTATGTCGTTTAACATGAATTCATTTTGAGATGCAACAAATATGAGTCTAACTTTTTCTGTGTATTTAATATACATTAATGTTTTCGAAATATTTTAATTTTTTTTACAATAAATAACTTATTATAAAATATTTTTTTACTGAACATTTATTGCAAATATCAATATTTTCTTTCTTTCTTTTTTAATTTGTTTTATTTAAAAAAAAAAAAAATTGTGTTAAAATTATAGTCATAATGTATAAATTTAATTAAAATTAAGGGTTTTTTTGTTGAATTTTTCTCGCTGCAGGTGATTCTTTTTAAAAAAAAAAAAACAACATTTATTGCTGCGCTTTTACAATATACATATTATCGCGGTATATTAAACCATGTTCAATATTTATTTGAGCGGCAGATGAATTTCGGAGATTTTTTTTCCCATGGAACAAATAATAAATTGAAAAAACAGTTTTAATGAAGTGCATCCTGTTTCAATAGAGGTTTATTAATGGTAAAGCAGGTGGAGGTGTGTTTGCTTTTGCTTCTAAACAGCATATATATATATATATATGCGTATGCCTGACCAAGCATAGATTACTTCTACTCTGAGATTGCATTATGATATTTTCAAATATTTTAATTTACAATAAACTTCATAAATGAATTTTTTTTTAAATAGTAAATTTTTAAAATATGCAAAATAATATACAGATGCAATTTTGGAGAAAATGAAAAAAAAGTTACACAACACTGAGAAAAAAATTTAGTATTTTCAACAAAATTGTTTGATTAGACAATTTTGGTTTTTGTAACCAAATTTTGGTTGGCTGAAACAAAGTCGCAGGAGTTATCTCAACCAAACACTTGGTTAGGCCAACAAAATTATTTGGTTGATCTAACAAAAAAAATTTGGTTGAGCTAACCAAAAATTTTTTGTTATGTCAACAAAAAACACTCAACCAAGTTTATGGTTGATTCAAACAAATAGTTTGGTTGCTTAAATACCAACAAAATTTTTTTATTGGCCCAACCAAATTTTTGTTGCTCTGACTAAACATTTTTTTCAGTGAAGAAAAAAAAATATAATTTTTACCCCCCATAATCGGTATAAAAATTAACTACAACAAATTTTATCCTTATTAAGGGCGCCACTGTCTATGTGAATTAGAATTGGTTAAAATTATCGGCAACAAAATTTATCCAGTGTTTTTTTTTTTTTTAATGTATATACTATTTTTGTGGGTTTTAGGAAATCCTTCATATTTTGCAACTAAAAAGGGACAAAAAGAACAGAGGACATCATCGAGGACATAATTGTTTTTTGGAGTTTGTTTTCAAAAATTTGGTGAGTTTAAGTAATAATTATTATTAATTTCTTATAATTTTAGTCATTTTTTTTTTTAAATTCTTGAACTATTTTTTAAATTTTATCCTAAATTCTAATAACTTTATGCATAATAAATTTATTTTATAATTTTTAGAAACTTTCATGAATATTTCTATTTTAAAAAGTTCCATAAAATTTCTAAAATTTTCTAGAAAGTTCTACAAAGTTTCAGCAGACGCATTATTATTATTATTATTTAATTCATAATAAATTATAAATTTATATTTTTTATAAATATTTGCGTGCACCGTTCCGCAGAAGGAAAAACTGTTAGTATAAAGAATTAAAATTAAAAAAATTATTTCTGACCATTATAACATTAATTAAGTTATAATTAAGTAAATACATTTTCAATTAAATGCCTAGCAGGACGTTATAGAAAATATTTTTTTCTTTTTCTCCGTTTATTGCGGATGATTATATATATAACCCTTGATCCAAAGGGAAATAAAAATGTTATTATATTAAAATATAATATATAAATATAACAAAAAATTGTATTATATTTTATAGTTTTAATAATTAATTTTTTTTAATCTTGGCTGAACTCTGATTTTTTGTATTTTTGAATATTGGTTGAATATTGGGCCAATATTGAAATTCGAGCCTTGGCAAATTTTTTCACTTTGATTTTATTTTTGAAAATTAAAAGGTATTTTATTTTGCTTTTTAGTGGGTAAAATTATTTAAACAAAAAGTTTCCTGAGACTATAATTCCAAAACATTTTGCAAGTTTTTTTTATTGTTTTCAGACATATGCAATAAACCAAAAAAATTTTTAAACGTTCAAACTAAAAAAAAAATATAATTTTTTATAAAAAAAAATTAATAATTTTTAAAATAAAAATTTAAAAAAATTTTCTTGACAACACTTGTTAAAAATTAAAAAACAACTTTTATTTTCTTAAAAAAGTTTTTCAAAAATTAATTTTGATGCAAATAATTAAAGTGAATAATAAAATAATTAAATAGCTAATTGTATAATTATAGGTATACATTATAAATATTTTATAAACATTTTTATTTTTACTGAATTGTTTTTATATATTATAAAAACTTTGGTTTCCCAAGTGCGAAAACCAACATGGGCTAATATTGGCCCAGCATTGTCAAATCGGGCACCAAGTCTTGGTAGACAATATTGGGCCAATCTTGACTGCCATTAGTGGCCCAGTATTGTCGAAGTTTAAAAAAGTTAAAAAAATTATAATAATTAATTAACTAATTAATTCATTATACATTTATAATTCAAGTCCTGACAGAAAGCGAAATTGTTTAAAAATTTGTAACGCTCGCGAGAACCGAACTCGCAACCTAACGCACCGAAGTCTAACACGCTAACCACTACACACTAGGTATACCCAAATATGGCAATCTCAACACAAAAATGTTTTGATAAGCTGCGCATTTGAGGAACATTTCAGCCGTTAATGCGTCATTACTGGGCCAAGATTCGTTACAACTTTGGAAAAAATGACTTTTCAAAATAAATACAACATTTCAGCCGTCAATGAGCCAATAATGACCCAGTAATGGGACAGAGTTCGACTCAATTATGGAAAAGTAGAATTACCAAGTATTGGTGCCAATATTGGCCCAGTAGTGTGGCGGAGTTCGGCCTAATTATGGCAAATTGGAGTAACTGAGATGCAGTGCCATAATATTGGCCCAGTAATGGGACAGAGTTCGGCCCAATAAATGGCAAATTAGAGTAACCAAGAATTAGTGCCAATATTGGCACAATAATGGAACGGAGTTCGACCCAATTATGGCAAATTAATGTAACTGAGACGCATTGCCAATATTGGCCCAGTAATGGGACAGAGCTCGGCCCAATAAATGGCAAATTAGAGTAACCGAGAATTGGTGCCAATATTGGCCCAATAATGGAACGGAGTTCGACCCAATTATGGCAAATTGGAGTAACTGAGAAACAGTGCCAATATTGACCCAGTAATAGGACATAGTTCGGCCCAATAAATGGCAAATTAGAGTAACCGAGAATTGGTGCCAATATTGGCACAATAATGGAACGGAGTTCGACCCAATTATGGCAAATTAAAGTAACTGAGACGCATTGCCAATATTGGCCCAGTAATAAGTTAGAGTACGGCCCAATAAATGGCAAATTAGAGTAACCGAGAATTGCTGTCAATATTGGCCCAATAATGGAACGAATTGATCGCCAGTACTGGTCCAGTAACGTTTGCCATACTTCGGCAGACATTACTGGGCCAATGTTGGGCCGTATTGTCAGTCTTGGCAATTAATTTGCACATGGGTTTATAATAAACATATTTTTATATTTATTTTTTTATTTTTTAAATAAAATGTCCGCCTCAAGGTAATATTACCGGTAATGTTACTGTAATATTACGCGCTAATATTAAGGTAATATTACAGTAATATATGCCGTAATATTAAGGTAATTTTACAAGAGAATATTACAGTAATATTGTGGGAACATTTCTTTACGAAAAAAATCTACCCATCCAGGGAATCGAACCCCGAACTCAAAGCACACGAGTCCAGAGTTTTACCAACAAGCCAAATTGACTTATAATATATTTACGTTTTTTATGCTTTATGAATAACTCAAATCAGTCTGTAATATTACTGTAATATTACTGTTAATATTACAGTAATATTCCCGGTAATATTACCTTGAGGCGGACATTTTAAGATCACTGTAAGATTACTGTAATATTACAGCGTTATATATTACGAATCTCACGTGTAATATTACCTTGATATTGAGGATATATTACGTGCTTCTTGAGTAGTTAGTTGACTAATATAATTAATATTTTATTTGTGTTGGGTTACTAAAAATTTCACACACTTTTTCCTAAAAAAAAGTATTACCTATGGAGCAGAGATTTCACTATTGCAGTGAAACTTATATCTCTGTTACAGTTAAAGATTTCTTTTCGTATACAATAAATTACAAAACTGCCAGTACTCGACCAGTACTGAACCAGTAGTGGTTACCAGTACTGGTGCCAACTCTGGTAGCCAATACTGGTAAAATGTTATCATCCCAAAGTTACGCCAATACTGGATGCCAGTACTGCGCCAACATTTGTCAGTACTGCGCCAGTATTGCGCCATTAGTAAATTTTTGATTGTATATAAAATTGTCGTATGGCTTTTTAGGACATCGTCACTCTATATCAGGTTGTACAAACTTACTATATATATATATATATATACGTAAGCGTAAAACGTATCCAAAGACGCGTATATAGTCACGTATGACGTCAGTGGAAGGTGGCACGCGTCGCGTGCCATCGTTTTCAAGGGGGTGGGAGTTGTCTCTTTCTCTCTCTCTCTTTCTTTCTCTCTTGTTCACTCTCAATGTCCTCACTGTCACAAGGGTAGGGGAAACTTTAAAACTTGACTGATCTTTCTCTCCTCTATATATTTATCATCTCTCTCGCTCTCGATTCACTTCAATCCACTCAAGTTGAAAATGCAACAGACAAAGAGAAAGATATGACAGTTTGACAAGGAAGTCAGAGAAGCAGTGTATATGTGTATGTGTGTGTCTCTTCACCGGTGGTTGGGGTGTCTCGTCGTTGCCGAGTGGTGGGGGTGGACGCGTGCAGCCGGCCTGCAGCTGCCTCCCCCTTCCCTCTGCCTGCAACGCACCAGCCCCTCGTTGAATTCATTTTTTCCCCCCTCCGGCCCCTTTGGGACCATGATTATAAGTAGGGGTGCTGCCCGTTTACTACCTCCAGTCGAGGGTTGCACATTGAAAGAGATGCGTGCTGCCGCTCATTTTCGTGAAAACGCGTTTTAAAAAAAAAAAAAAAATTTCCAAAACAGTTTTTTTTCATTTCTGTTTAATTTTTTTTTTGTGAAAAACAGTGATAAGTGCTCTTTTGGATTAACACACATCAAAAAGGATTTTTTCATTAAAGAAGAAATATTTTCATAAGACAGAGTTCAACCTCGCCATCTGTCGATGTTTGCCGCCGTGCTTCAATAGTTTGTGATTTTAACGTTGTGTGGCGTTAGTGTCGCGCCGGTAGCGGTGTGCCTGCCTCTGGCATAGAAAGAGAGAAACTACCGGCTAAAGAGTAGGACAGAGTGTTATTACTTTCCCGTCGAGCCAACTGGCAGGACGTGTGTGTGTATTGTGTATTAGTGTATGTGTTCAACAAGAGAGGCAAGGGGGCTTTTGAAGCCGCTGATCCAGTGCCAGTAGTATCCCGGCTGTGGAGTAGTGACTGTCGTGCTTTTTTGTGTGTACGTCTCTTTCCCCCTTTTTTCCCCCAATGAGTCCCCTTCCCAATTTATAATTAAAACAGTGCACAATTGACTTCGGAGGCTTTTATTTTGTCATTGTTTTCCCGCCTTTTTTTTGTTGGCATTCATTTTTTTCACACCCACAAATTTTTTTCCCCTCACGACAATCAAACACGAGGTGAAAAAAAAAATTACGGATCTAAACTTAGTATCTTTTTTTTTTTTTTTTTTTATTTCGAAAAGTACCGGGTTTAAGGAGAAGCAGTTTATATCGGTGCTTCGTGGAAGATGCTCTCAATTGCGACCTGGTCTTCACTTTTGCCATGTGGGAAATAATTTGAGGAATTTTTTTTATAGAAAAAAAAAAAAAAATTTTCCCCGCTGACAACGTGCTTGTTTAGTGACCGGCGCTTCCATTGGATTACTGGAATACAAGTGTCAAGTGTGCAGTGATTAAGGATTTATTATAATTGTTGTTTTGCTGGTTTTTTTTTTGAAATTTTTTTTTTTTTTTCTTTTGAAACTCGGGAAGAAGAGAGGCCAAGGGCCTTTGAATTGCCGTCCACGGAACACACTGGTGTTTGTTCCAGGTGGCTATGCAGTCGAGTGTTATTTTATCATCGAATAGATAACCCGCCGAGATTCGAGCAAAAAGCTCCTTCGGCGACGATATCGGGCAAAATTAACAAAAAGTAAACATGTGGACC